TTTCATGTAAGTATTTTTAACATGAATACCTGGATATTTTCGCTTAAAGGAGGTTACCCCCAAGTATTCACTAACTTGTTCTTGAAGCATATAATATTCTCCTGTTTCATCGGGTGGCCATTTGTATTCTATCAGGTTTTCAGCTGGAAAATAACTAAAACTAAACACAGAAAATCAAATATTAAATTATAAGAATTTAACACTACCGTCCAAACAGAACCCACATTCAATGCCATGTGCTCTGTAGTAACACTTTTATACATCTATATTCTTAATCATTTCTGAGCTCACTCAAGTGGAAAAATCGTGTATACATTTATTATTAGATATTTCGCCTAGTTACTCTGTAAGTAACTCAAAATGCTGAATATACACAATACACCTTCCTCCTATTTTCCCCAACACAAGGTTGATTTAATTACTCTAAAATACACTTTCTGTTCCCCATTTTGAACTATCAAGAAGTATCAATGTCCTCTTTTCAAATTCTTCTGCTGGCTATCTTTATATATTGGTAGCACATTTCACAGTTCTAATTCATGAGGTTTCTGTAATACCATCAACACCCTAGTAAATAAAACAACAAGGACCATGCATTTATTTTTGTTGAAAAAACAACATATCAAACTAGAACAACTTTTTTAAAAATGGCAATACCTAAGATCTTGACTTGAAGTCTCACAACTTCGTGAGCTGTCTCCTGAGCCCATGCGGCGCCTTTTAGATGGTTGGCTGCCATCATTTGAATTGTCTTCTATGTCATCCTGAGATGATACCATAATGTCAAGTGTTGAGCAACAAAATGTCAAGATCAAGAGCACACTTATCAAGAATATGAAGTATTTGGATTTGAAAACCTTAACGAAACTGTGAACATCTACACCTTACTCTGGGATTTTTCACTGCTCTTTATCCATCTAATTAAAAAATAAGTCAAGGAGTTACACAGGGCCCTGATATCTTTAGGGAAATAAACAAACCTAATAGATAGAGGTACTGTACTCTAGAATCTCTGATAATGCTATACAGCATGTTGGAATTGGTTACAGGTAACCCTCAACTTACAACAGGGGTCTTCCATCTTGGCCCCTTTATGACTTGTGGACTTTAACTCCCAGAATTCCTCAGCCAGCGTGCCTGGCTGAGGAATTCTGGGAGTTGAAGTCCACAAGTCATAAAGGGGCCAAGATGGAAGACCCCTGACTTACAACCACAATTGAGCCCAAAATTTCTGTTGCTAAGAGAACTTTGCCCCATTTTACGACCTTTCGTGCCACAGTTAAGTGAATCACTGCAGTTCTTAGTAATATAGCTGTTAAGTGAATTTGTCTTCCCCATTGACTTTGCTTGTCAGAAGGTCGCAAAAGGGGGTCACATGAACTAGGACACTGCATCATAAATATGAACCGGTTGGCAAGCATCCAAATTTTGGTCAAATGATCATAGGGATGCTGCAACAGTTGTTAAGTGTGAAAAAGTCGTAAGTCACTTTTCAGTGCCGCTGCAACTTTGAACAGTCACTAAACGAATGGTTTTAAGTCGGTGACAGTTCTTGGCTCGCACATAGTTAAGAATCACACTTTAAAAAATAAAATAGTACTGTAAACGATCCTAATAGTGTAATACTGTAAAATAGTACTGTAGACGATCCTAAAGCAATTTAAACTTCAAAAATCTGAAATCAATGTGACTTCTTAATAAATAAGTTTGATGCTTGAATGCAGATAGCCAGGTAGAGGATGCCAGCATTATTTTCTTTTTATATCAATCAGCATGGGACCTTCATATTCTGTAGGACAAATAGTTGCCAGCTACAATAGCTTTCCCAGCATTACACTAAAGAAATGGGAAGCAAGGAGGAGGTTTGGCTAGCCATCAAAAGCCCCATCCCCATAATCAGGCTAAATAGACTGCGGGTTCTCTTCTTAGATGAGTGGGCCTGCTGCATCTTTCAGAAGAAAAACAGTGCAAAGTCTATTTTCGTCGACCTCAAAAGATCTACATCAGGGGTAGTCAACCTTGGCTCTTTTATGACTCGTGGACTTCAACTCCCAGAATTCCTGAGCCAGCACAGCTGGCTCAGGAATTCTGGGAGTTGAAGTCCATGAGTCATAAAAGAGCCAAGGTTGACTACCCCTGATCTACATAGTTGCGATTCGACTCTCAAGAGAAAAAAAAAGTGATACCGACTTCTTAAAAAAACAACAACCCCTCTCCTTCAACCCAAGTGCCCCACTTTTTATGGCGAAGGTTCAGCTTAGCGTCTGTATGTTCTTAATTTCCTTTAACTGAACTTCCTTTAACTTCGGACGTGCTAAAATCCTTCGACTCCTGTTCAGTCCTTCGAAGGAGAGTTAAGTGGGAAGGATCCAACGGATCTCGCCCCACCACCAACCCATAACATGTAAAACTAGGGTTGCCAGGTGTCCACTATCTGAGCGGACGGTCCACTTTTTTCACATTATGTTCACTATTTTTTTTCACAAAATAGTGGACATTTTTTTTTT